CAGTCTTAATCTCCTTGTACTTTTTCAAAAGTCTCAGTGTAGATCTTTCTTTTGTTCATATTTTGCTCTTGTGTCATTGAATTTGAGTTCGGATTATGATTATGTTGACATGTTGGTATTTTTTGACATAATAGTCTCGGATTACTTTCTGCTGAGGAGTATAGACAATTTTATAGCAAGTTATTTCTGAATATTAACTATCCTTTCTAGTATTTCAATTTCTCCATTCGATCCAAACACCTGTAATTACTAGAAAGTCACAGTCTGGTCCTTTGTTTGTACCTGGAGACTCGAGAGAGATGGTATCGGTAATGACCTATTGTCAATAGCAACTCCACGTCTGGTCCCGGGAGGTCAATGGTGTTGTATTACTGTCGTGAAAATCTTTTTGAATTGTCTGATTTACTATCTGGTAACATGCATTTAAACGCCCGTTAATAATTAAAACGTTTGCAGCCTGTGGTAACAGTATCAATATTAATCACGAAGCACAGATACCATATATCATGTGTCATCAGCTTCAACGCACTCTTTTATCTATTTTTTTTTTACAATATTTATATTTTTAGACTGGGATAATGACAAATATATATGAATATGTATTTAAAAAAAATTATGAACACATTCTTCATTTAAAAAAAAAACATTTACAGCCTGTGGTAACATTGCCGATATATTCTTCCATTGAGGTAATTCATATATCATGTTTCGTCAGCTTCAACACTCTTTTTTCATTTGTTTATTTTTTCAGATATTTATTTTTTAGACTGGATACTGAAATATACGTGTAAATATATATACACACATGTATAGATATCACTTTCTGTGCTCTTTTTTTGTAAATGTATAAACATTTTTTTTCATTTTCCCCAGTTTGATCAATCTGTTGAATACTCAATCCGATACGTTCGAATCTGATGGATCGGAAACCAACCATAATACACCACAGTCACTAAAATTCGGATTATCGTCCAAATCAAATCAATTAATATAGATCACTAAACAGGATTTACGTGTCAAAATATAGTGTTACATGTAACAGGGTTTATGTGATGTGAAGATAGAGAACTTTGCCATATACAAATGAGTTCTCAGTATATTTTTTATCGTACTGATCTAACCCTACTGACCTACAGATATTTGGTCTCGAGCAAATCTGAAGTTTTGCCTTTAAAAAGTAAGGAATCTATTTGATGTATCTGATAATGGTATATTACTAAGTTTTGCATTTGGGAAATATTCATATTAAAAAAAAAATAAAAAACAAAACAAACAAAATAAAACTTCCATAGGTAAGTCAGGGATCAGTCATTCTAATGTTAGACAGGCACGGACTGATGTTTCCTTCTATGTTACTATGAAACTCTTTGACATATGAATAATTTTGGAAATGTGTTGTTCAACTGAAACTTACATCAGAAAGTGGCGCACACAGAGCCTCCTTAGAATAAGCAGCAGCAGCCTTTAGATGTAAAACCACAATGATGATGGCTTGTCGGCCATTTTGTATTTCTGTTCAATCTCGGGTTCAAACAGGAACAAAAATGGACCAAGGATCTACCAAGCACTTCTCAAGAACTAGCAAAAATTAAACTCTTTCAAAATGGCCACCTGTCGGCCATTTTACTTACTTTTTTGGGTAAGTCTTTGCATTAGATAAGCAAAGAAGTACTATGAGGAACCATCAAATGATATTTCAGAGATTCTTCACATCCTCTTCCAGAAATAGTGGTAACAAATTTCAACGGTTTCAATCCAACATGGTAGTCTGTTGGCCATCTTGTCTTTCAACAATTCCCCACATCAATCATGTACAACTCGAAAAAAAGTGAACATAGCTACATAATGAAAATGATCCATCCCATACCTCCCAAAAAACAGTAGTAATCATCCATACCAGTCAAAGTCCGTGATGGCTCTGTCAGACATTTTGATTTTTAGAGCAGCAGATCAGTCTCAAAATTGAACAGACACACATAGGAATTATTGAAATCCAATATATATATATAAACCAACTGATTGTAAATGAAAGAGCGTCCTGTACAACCAATCGTCTGATGACGACGACGACGACGACGACGATGATCGATCTGTACAACCTATCGTCTGATGGTGATGATGAGCGATCTGTACAGCCTATCGTCTGATGATGATGATGATGAAGATGAGCAATCCGTACAACCTATCGTCTGATGATGAGCGATCTGTACAGCCTATCGTCTGATGATGATGAGCAATCTGTACAGCCTATCGTCTGATGATGATGATGATGATGATGATGAGCAATCTGTACAACCTATCGTCTGATGATGATGAGCAATCTGTACAACCTATCGTCTGATGATGAGCAATCTGTACAGCCTATCGTCTGATGATGATGAGCGATCTGTACAGCCTATCGTCTGATGATGATGAGCGATCTGTACAGCCTATCTTCTGATGATGAGCAATCTGTACAACCTATCGTCTGATGATGAGCAATCTGTACAGCCTATCGTCTGATGATGATGATGATGATGAAGATGAGCAATCTGTACAACCTATCGTCTGATGATGATGAGCAATCTGTACAGCCTATTGTCTGATGATGATGAGTGATCTGTACAACCTATTGTCTGATGATGATGAGCAATCTGTACAGCCTATCGTCTGATGATGATGATGAGCAATCTGTACAGCCTATCGTCTGATGGTGATGATGAGCGATCTGTACAGCCTATCGTCTGATGATGATGATGAGAGATCTGTACAACCTATTGTCTGATGATGATGAGCAATCTGTACAGCCTATCGTCTGATGATGATGATGAGCAATCTGTACAGCCTATCGTCTGATGGTGATGATGAGCGATCTGTACAGCCTATCGTCTGATGATGATGATGAGCAATCTGTACAACCTATTGTCTGATGATGATGAGCAATCTGTACAGCCTATCGTCTGATGATGATGATGAGCAATCTGTACAGCCTATCGTCTGATGATGATGATGAGCAATCTGTACAGCCTATCGTCTGATGGTGATGATGAGCGATCTGTACAGCCTATCGTCTGATGATGATGATGAGCGATCTGTACAACCTATCGTCTGATGATGATGATGAGCAATCTGTACAGCCTATCGGATGATGATGATGAGCGATCTGTACAGCCTATCTTCTGATGATGATGAGCAATCTGTACAACCTATCGTCTGATGATGATGATGAGCAATCCGCACAACCTATCGTCTGATGATGAGCGATCTGTTCAACCTATTGTCTGATGATGATGAGCGATCTGTACAGCCTATCGTCTGATGATGATGATGATGATGAAGATGAGCAATCTGTACAACGTATCGTCTGATGATGATGAGCAATCTGTACAGCCTATCGTCTGATGATGATGATGATGATGAAGATGAGCAATCTGTACAACCTATCGTCTGATGATGATGAGCAATCTGTACAGCCTATTGTCTGATGATGATGAGTGATCTGTACAACCTATTGTCTGATGATGATGAGCAATCTGTACAGCCTATCGTCTGATGATGATGAGCGATCTGTACAGCCTATCGTCTGATGATGATGAGCAATCTGTACAGCCTATCTTCTGATGAAGATGAGCAATCTGTACAGCCTATCGTCTGATGATGAGCAATCTGTACAGCCTATCGTCTGATGATGATGAGCGATCTGTACAGCCTATCTTCTGATGAAGATGAGTGATCTGTACAGCCTATCTTCTGATGATGATGAGCAATCTGTACAACCTATCGTCTGATGATGATGAGCGATCTGTACAGCCTATCTTCTGATGAAGATGAGCAATCTGTACAGCCTATCGTCTGATGATGAGCAATCTGTACAACCTATCGTCTGATGGTGAGCAATCTGTACAGCCTATTGTCTGATGATGATGAGCAATCTGTACAGCCTATCGTCTGATGATGATGAGCGATCTGTACAGCCTATCGTCTGATGATGATGAGGAGCGATCTGTACGATGATGAGCGATCTGTACAACCTATCGTCTGATGATGATGATGAGCAATCTGTACAGCCTATCATCTGATGATGATGATGATCGATCTGTACAGCCTATCGTCTGATGATGATGATGAGTGATCTGTACAACCTATTGTCTGATGATGATGAGCAATCTGTACAGCCTATCGTCTGATGATGATGATGAGCGATCTGTACAGCCTATCGTCTGATGATGAGCAATCTGTACAACCTATCGTCTGATGATGATGAGCGATCTGTACAGCCTATCGTCTGATGATGATGAGCAATCTGTACAGCCTATCGTCTGATGATGATGAGCAATCTGTACAGCCTATCGTCTGATGATGATGATGAAGATGAGCAATCTGTACAGCCTATCGTCTGATGATGATGATGAGCGATCTGTACAACCTATCGTCTGATGATGATGATGAGTGATCTGTACAACCTATTGTCTGATGATGATGAGCAATCTGTACAGCCTATCGTCTGATGATGATGATGAGCAATCTGTACAGCCTATCGTCTGATGGTGATGATGAGCGATCTGTACAGCCTATCGTCTGATGATGATGATGAAGATCGTCTGATGATGATGATGAGCGATCTGTACAACCTATCGTCTGATGATGATAATGAGCGATCTGTACAGCCTATAGTCTGATGATGATGATGAGCGATCTGTACAGCCTATTGTCTGATGATTATGATCGATCTGTACAACCTATCATCTGATGATGATGATGATCGATCTGTACAGCCTATCGTCTGATGATGATGATGATCGATCTGTACAGCTTATGGTCTGATGATGATGATGAGCAATCTGTACAACCTATCATCATCATCATCATCTGATGATGATGATGATGAGCGATCTGTACAGCCTATCTTCTGATGATGATGAGCAATCTGTACAACCTATCATCTGATGATCGCAGGCTAAGAACTGCTGAGGAAGTCCAAACTGAATAACAACACAGAGACAGTTTTACAATTTGTTGTTTTAATGTTTTTGTGACAAGTGAGTGAGTATGAAGATGACATATTTATCAAGGTGTATTATAATAATCACCAGAACATGGAGTTAGTTCTTTATAGTCATATAACAGTTTAAAGCGTCAAAGTAAAGCAGGTATTCTGTTTTAGAGCTAACAACTTATTTTAAAAGGAGATCAAAATATCAATTGGAAAATTGAACAAAAAATATCAAGGTTTGATAATTAATATCGCAACCGGCATTCATGACAAACATATCAGCTATAACACCAAATTACCTAACTACTGGCCACAAGAAATCATATCAATATATTGTATTTATTTCATAATCAATAAAAAATTATTCAGGAAGATTGATTTTTATCTTCTGTTTGTTATACAACCTGTACAAGCATTCCAAGATCGATATTGGTTAAACAGAATAAATTTCTGCAGAGAAATACACAAGGTGTTCAACACAATTAAATTTCAGTACAGAAATGAACACAATGTTCAACAGAATTAACTTCAGTACAGAAATGAACATGGTGTTCAACACCGTCAACTTTAGTACAGAAATGAACATGGTGTTCAACACCAACTTCAGTACAGAAATGAACATGGTGTTCAACACCATCAACTTCAGTACAGAAATGAACATGGTGTTCAACACCAACTTCAGTACAGAAATGAGCATGGTGTTCAATACCATCAACTTCAGTACAGAAATGATCATGGTGTTCAACACCATCAACATCAGTAAAGAAATGAACATGTTGTTCAACAGAATCAACTTCAGTACAGAAATGAACATGGTGTTCAATACCATCAACTTCAGTACAGAAATGAACATGGTGTTCAACACTCTCAACTTCAGTACAGAAATGAACATGGTGTTCAATACCATCAGCTTCAGTACAGAAATGAACGTAAGTACAGTGTACACATATATTGCTTCAAGTATTGCGATTTATAAATGGAAAACTTGTGATTTTAAACTTGCTGTAGATCTTTTGTATAACTCACAGATTATGATATAAGAACAGTTTTATCTGTCCTTCTATCATTCTAAACTGTCATTATACACCCAGACATATTACAACTTAATGATGTCATTAAAAGATCATTAAACTTCCATTATTTAATTTAATTACAATTTCATGAAACTTGCTGTATGAAAATAAAAAAGAGACACTTCTTAAATCATACTTCATACATGTTTGGTATCTGGTTCAATTGAGTACTTCGTTTGAAGTGCAAATAAATCAGAATGAGTAAGGTTGGTTCACTCCATGAAGAAATTTTGAGCTCTGAGACTCGGTGCTATGATTTTGCATCAAGATCTATAGTAAAGTATGGTAATATCTGTATTCTAATTGCCTAATTAAATGTTTAATGGGTTTGTTAAAGTTATTAATTTATATCAATGACTTTTTCTGATGTAGTGGTTACAATAGTATGTAAATCTTGGTTACACAATGAAGAATTTTTATCAGAAGAAAAAAAAAAAAAACCCACCAGGTATGAAATTATGAGACAGTGTGTAAAAGGATGTATATTTCATTAACAATTTCTAATATTCTGGCACACAATCATATACATTCAGACACAAACATTACGCTTCACATGTCATTCCTACAAATATACACACCTATTTTAGTGTTTTAACGTTGCAGTAATGCCATTCTACTGATATCATTTAAAAACCAAAAACATTATATAATATGAATGGACATGTTGCAGATCACTTGATATTGTTACACAAGATGGGTATTTGTAGGTGGTGCATTCATCATTTTATCATGTTAAGGTAGAGAGTAACACCTCTGGTTTTTTTACCTCCAACTTAAAAGAGTTCTAGACCTAGCTTTAACAGATTTGAAATGAAGACAACTCTTAACTGCATACAGTAGTTAATTGGTAGATAACTCTATCACAACTGTGTAACTTTGAGAACAACTTTTCTTGACATTTTTTACATCAAACACACAGTGGTCCCATAATGCTTTGTAAATCAAATGTATAAAATAAAACGAGGTAAAACTGATTTTAGGTAAAATGACAAAATTAATATTATCTGGCAACCAAGAGGGAAAAAATGTGATTAAAAAAATTAATTAAATTGAAGACAAATTTAATTGAAAAAGTTCAATTAGAATAAAATAATATTTGGCATTAATTTAGTATAAATGTAGGTTGTTTCAGAAAAATAAAAAATGAAATCTACGTAAACAGTGTTATACAACATTGTCTATATTTTCCAGTTAGTTTGTGTGACTGATTTTCACCGTGAAGCTCTGAATGTTTGAGTTCAAAAGAGTGTAAACTTAGTTCAATGTTACACTAGGAGTTTATAAAACAATGTGTATCGACATCACCTCCTCTCACCTAACTAAACTCTCAACTGTGTATGGAACAATAACTCACAGTACAAACAGAAAATATCTTCATCTTGTACATCAACAAGGCATGTATGCAAGCAATTTTAGCATTCAACAGATGCTATTGTTAACAGACAGTAACTACCACTCAGGGGGCAGGGTGGGACGGGACGGGGCGGGGCGTGGCAGAAGGCAGGGCAGGGTGTGGTGGGGAATGAAAATATATACTAAAAATGAAGTACAATGAATAATGTTGCTGTACTTTGATTGTATTTGATCCGTTTCTTCCTGCAGTTGGGAATTCAGTCATTTTTATATCATTTCATGAATTTTGGTTTTTGAACACAAAAAGGTGGGTTGGGGGTAGGGGGTGGGGGAACAAAAACAAATGTTTACCTGTCATCCCCGGTTCAGTTTCAAAAAGAAAGTTAACTCTGAATATCAACTAAAATGACAAACTTATATAATACCAGGTATTACCTGAAACCATCTTCCAATAATTCTCCCATCTATTGTAATCATACTTTTTATGACTGGGTATTGTTTTTTCCACAACTATTTCTTCTTTCTAGGACAAAAGATTTGCTCCAACCTGAGCAGTTTTTTGGTTCAAATGATTGAAATACTGACTTATCAAATAATAAAACTTTTCCATTTTCTGTTTTGAGTTTGAGCTGTAAGAGCAAAATAAACACGAGATGAAAATTTGTGTTCAAAACACATCACACTCTCTTTACCGAATATCAAAGGCAAAACACAAAACAATAAACATAAAATTTCTTAAAAGTAAATAAATATATATATCCCTCTCTGTCAGCACTAGATACTTAATTGTCACATACGAGTATATTTTACAACACAATGGTACAATATTTTTGTCATTTTTTTTTCATTATCATTTTATTTTCATTTAATATATCTAGTTTTAATTTAAGCCTGATTTTATGTTAGAGAATAGATGAGGGTATATTTTTTAAAAATTTTGTCAAATTATAGCAATTTTGAACGGTTTGCCATGATTAAAACAATGACAATACAAAGGGAGTTATTCAGCTCAATCTTTATTCAAAACATTATACTGAATGAAAAAAAAAAAAAAACAGAATCGGCATTTAGTCACACAAGGGGAATTTTTCACATGTGTAACACAAATAACAAATACTGTAGAATTGTAAATGAATATCAACTTTTCTCTGTCACAAAGAAATATTAGGATGAGGGGACCAGCTGTCAAAGCAGCTCAAATACTTTAACATTAAATGAAGTTTTTTAGCCAAGGATCACAAATTTCACAAATAATAAAGATCAACCACATGCTTGCCAACAATATGACATAATGAGAAAAGTTCCACTATTGCACTGATTTTATCTGACAATTTCGATAGGCCATTATTTCTGCCCCAAAACTTCCTTCTTAAAAGTAATAAACAGGATCATGGCTTTATTCCAATTACATCTATCAGAGGAGCACATGATTTTGAACAATAAACCCAGTGCCTTTAACAAAAATTGATGGAATAAAAAAATGAATACGCAAACACTTAAAAAAAATTGTTATAAATAATAAAATGATTGGTTATCTGTAAAATCATTATAAGTTGTAAAACTATGTTTTTAAGACACTTACAATGCTGCTTTATGGAAGATGAATGACACTTTTTATCTGATAACATGGTAATACAGCGTCTCACGTGGGTTGCCTATCTAACAATGATACAATGTGACACAACACGGGGCAAGATGTCTATATATATATATAGTGTTGTCTTTTTCCAGCAGGGATGGGAAGGTTTATATGTTAAATGTACATTACATGAACAGGTCCACCTGTTCTCTGTTCTCTTGTGAGCAAAACAAGTATATGTCGATGCTATGTTTCAGAGATTTTCAGAATCTCACAGGTTTTTCCATATAAATATTATCAAGCCCGCTGCTGAAAACCTCTGATTGAGATTTTCTGATGCAAAACTTCTGTGATAGTTGTATATTGCCCAAGGCTTCATGTTTCCAGTGGCGTGATTAAACAATCACTATAAACCAGAATCAGAATTCTGGAATCACACATCACAGGAGTTCTAGCACTTTTGAAATGTTGTGATGAAGGTGAGTTTCAGCCACAACTAGCTCACACTGGCTGATGATGATTTTCGAGAGTCGTCTCCCCTTATCTGTTTGGCTTCCCCCATGAGTGTGTGTAACATCTTACTGAGCTGATCATCTTCCATCCCCAAATCCCGGATGACATGAGTTGATTTTGCTGGTGCAGTTTCTGTTGAATCCAAAAAAATAATGGACACTATATTAAGGCATTATAAAATGGTAATTGTTGTATTAATCAAATCATTGTTAATTAATTGAATTTTATTAATATATGACTGTTAATTGTAGTATGGATTAAACAATTGTTTTACTAGTAAACAAGATGTGCTGATGAAACAATATGCCCTGAAAATTCTGAAGTGGGATATTAAAACTGTACTGTATAAGGTATGTGCTAATTGCATTCACACATATGTCTTCATTTTGGTAATGATTTTTTAAAATTTTCAATTGTATGTCAAAAGTCATGGTCAAGGTCACACAGTCAAAACTTTTGATACCATAGGAAAGCTCTTGTCACATGAAACACACATGCCAAATATGAAAGCCCTACCAATGTTGCAATAGGTTTGGGTAAGGTTAAAGTTGACAACAAACAAGACAATATGCCTCCAATCTTTCGATCTGGGGGCATAAATATTCTGATAATTATTTCTGAGAAAACAAACTCTTAAAGCCTGAGTTTGTCTGAAACATTCAAACACAATCTGTACCTTCTGAATGTAAGTTTATTACTAAGAGATATTATACAGCTTTAACACGTATCACTGGACTTGTTTGATTCCTGATCTGTTGTAGCAGTTGTAACATATCTAATACACAATGGTTTGTTCTGATCTATCACTGAGGACTATGAAAATAAAGATCGCTGTAGAGGACCCCATTTTGCCTCACAATATCTGTAGTGATTGATAAAATGACAAAGATACGTAGTACTGTCAGTTATATTATTGATGGTTTAAATATTTTTCACTTCTTATTTCACAGATGATAGTTTTGAGGAAAGGATTAGGAAGGTGGGGAGGGGTGGGTTTTTGGGGTTGAGTTTTCAGGGTAGAGGTTTGAGGGTGGGGTTTAAGGGTGGGGGTTTGAGGGTGGGGTTTTCAGGATGGAGGTTGGGGATAGGGGTTTTAATCCTTATTTTGGCCACATCCTGCTTACCTTCTATAGGTGTATCCTCGTAAAGTGACCCTTTCCTTAAGAAGGCAGGTTTCTTCCTTGGGGAAGCTTTCTTTAGTGGCATTACATGTTCACAGGCATGCTTCCAGAATGCTACAAATGATATATGTTATGGATTACTAAAATTACACATATTATTAAAATAGTACACACAAGGTTTTGTATTTGTATATCAATGATAAATGTGTCTTGGACAGATCAGATCAAAAACTCCATCATTTGGACAACATCAGACAACACAACATTGTTGCTGACCATCCTATTTACCAAGGCCACATGAAGTGTAGTTATGTCCCTTGGTTCAAATATAAAGGACTATTATGATACAATAATAAGCCTTATCTAACTTAAACAAGTTATATTTAGTTGCAAGTCCTGGTTGGTACCTATACATGCTTGTAAAGCCATCACCATCCTTTCTTCTTTAGCTCTACCTTACTTCATACACAGCCTACTCTAAGTCAGCACTACACAACCTACTCTAAGTCAGCACTACACAGCCTACTCTAAGTCAGCTCTACACTACCTACTCTAAGTCAGCTCTACACAACCTACTCTAAGTCAGCTCTACACAACCTACTCTAAGTCAGCACTACACAGCCTACTCTAAGTCAGAACTACACAACCTACTCTAAGTCAGCTCTACACAACCTACTCTAAGTCAGCACTACACAACCTACTCTAAGTCAGCTCTACACAACCTACTCTAAGTCAGCACTACACAACCTACTCTAAGTCAGCACTACACAACCTACTCTAAGTCAGCACTACACAAACTACTTTAAGTCAGCTCTACACAACCTACTCTAAGTCAGCTCTACACAACCTACTCTAAGTCAGCACTACACAGCCTACTCTAAGTCAGCTTTACACAACCTACTCTAAGTCAGCACTACACAAACTTCTTTAAGTCAGCTCTACACAACCTACTCTAATCAGCACTACACAACCTACTCTAACTAAGTCAGAACTACACAGCCTACTCAAAGTCAGAACTACACAGCCTACTCAAAGTCAGAACTACACAGCCTACTCAAAGTCAGAACTACACAGCCTACTCGAAGTCAGCTCTACACACTCTACTCTACGTCATTCCATAGCAAGAAAACAAAGGATGCCAGAGTAACCTACCTTGATCGAGAAGATGCTGCTGTAGTCCGTCCCACCATTTACTCAAGTCTTCAGCTGAGTCAGCTGCAAGTGTATGTTGAAATGTGCCACGACGCTGGACAGTCTTTATGTGGAATGTGTGTGACCGCTCACTTGTCCGTGGGTCAGCATCACTTATCTGAGTGTTCTACAATATAATAAAGGTCAGAATCATTTATTGTGTCTCTATGATGGGGTATTGTTCGGTCCAAGAATACACGTCCTATATTTATTGTACGTTATCTGGTTAACAGATGAAAAATGTGAAGCAACTTAATTTTCCTAAGACTTTAAGAACATACTTTTTAGGTGTTTTCTGATGTGAATTACAGAATACTGAGGGCATAGTCTGTGTATGGTTATAATAATCATCATAGACCACCACCTGTGATCTTGTCCAGGGCTCTCACATCCCATTTTGGGACTGGGGCCCGGGGCCCTTAGAATTGGGAAAAATAACGGCGTTTTCCTTAGAATTGGGAAAACTTGGGGTCTAACTTGGGAAAAAAAGATACTATTTTGCATTGGGAATTCGGCCCCAAATCTGGCAGATCAAGAGCCCTGTTATCCTACCATTTTGATAAGCACTGTGACCTTGACATACCTTTGTGAAAGGTATTGTGACTTCCACAAGTTTGTGACCTTGACATACCATTGTGATTTTCACTTTGCCTTGATCTACCTTTGTGACATGCATGTGATCCAGAACTGTGTTTGTGACCAGTACTGTGACCTTGACATACCTTTGTGAAAGGTATTGTGACTTCCACAAGTTTGTGACCTTGACATACCATTGTGATTTTCACTTTGCCTTGATCTACCTTTGTGACATGCATGTGATCCAGAACTGTGTTTGTGACCAGTACTGTGACCTTGACCTACCTTTGTGACAGGTACTGTGACCTGTGGATCTGTAACCTCTGTGTCGCTAGGTGACAACCAGCAGGACAACTGTAGGTTTTTGAGCATACACCAGTACCGTCTCCACTTGGCTAAATCATCGTCCTCCTGAAAAAAATCAACCAAGAATTGAATATCACAGAGAATGTTTCTCTATCTAAGCAGGTGTTCCTCCATCTTCAAGGCCATAAATTAAATATTTTTCTGGGAGGTAAAAATTTCAATATAAGAAAGATCAAATCAAAGAATTTGTGGGGAAAATATCTTTCTGGTGTATCCAAGGATATTAGGGATATTGTATGTTCCAGCTGATCTGCTGAAACCCTTAATTAGGGTATTCACTATGAAAACAATTTTCAGTTCCAAATTTAACCTTACATAGGAATTTTTTTTTTAAATAAAGGGTAAAATTAAAAACACTTGGTGAATACATTATTCATTCCGTGTTAAAATTAAAATTTTACAGGGTGAGTGTACACAAGTGATTACTGGGCAAAAGAAAACACAGAGTAAGGGAATTTTCCACAGATTTTCTGTTTGACAACAGGTGGGCTACCTGCATACCAACCATAGGGATATCGAGATCATACCTGTATATTGAGATAGCCTGTGACCTCTGGTGACACTAAACAATCGGGCTGAGCTGCCAGTCGACAACAGTAGTGTCCAAACAGTGGAATCTCACATCCAGACTCTGAAACATTTAATAGTATATAGATAATCGCTCTTATTTTTTTTTTTTTTAAGTTTGTGTTTTTTAATTATCAGTTTACTGTCACAACACATTTATATTTCTCTTTTTATATACTAGCAATTTTTTCCCCAAGAGTTTCATTTACATCAAACATTAAAGAAATCCTATTAATTCATATTGATTTCCAACTTCAAAATTAAAGAGTTATGTCCCTTCCATTACTTATATTACTACATATTTCATAATTACCTGCAGCTTGATTGGTTGATACAAGCTGGAGGTCAAAGGTCCTAACGGAATCATCAACATCTTTCAGCTCCATAGTTCCTTCAGCTACTAGCTCAAATCTTGGTCCCCTGTTATAGATTCAACACAGACTTTTAAAAGTGGACACAACATGTGAATTTACATTTCATATTGGCCAGAAAGTAGCTATTGGGAATTCAATCCATTATCACACATTTTTTATTGCAACAGCACATGGTAGTAACAACTAAAATTGATGGCAGTATGTAAGTGCTGACAAGAGCATCAATAGGACCGATGGATGCTCCCCAAATAAACACTAGAAGTTTCATGTTGATATATCTTAAAGCTTTTGTGTTACATTCTGAACAAAATTTAATCTGAAATTAAAGTTTATAGACTGATGGAGATCAGTGAATTTTTAATTTAACATCTATCTGATAGATAACAGTATTAGGTACTTACAACACCATGTTTCCTATAATGTCTGCGTCGTTCTGGAAAATAAAGGTTTTATCAAGATTTATACAATATAGACAAGATTTAAAATTTTAAAGAAAAAAATCAAAAACAAAATTTAAAAAAATACCCAAGGACAAATATAAATTTTCTCAAGTCATTCTAAGTTATATCTATACTTTTTGTATTTTGAAAATGTTTACATACACTGCAGTATGCTACCAATCTACGATCCAAAAGTGTTTACATAGAGTAATATTAATGTACTTGTGAATTGTCTCGTATCTCAAATGGTAAATCGAAAGGCAAAAACTGATTATGGACATGATAAATTTACAAAAAAAGAATGCTTTAAGGGGAAAAGAAATGAAAAGCATTATAAACAAATCCCTGATATAATCATGAATATTTCACATAATTCTATAAATGAGCAGATTATTATCTTTTTCATGTCGGCAAATTGCACTTTTGTATCTTGTTCCGTGAAATAAAAAAAAAAGAAAAAAGAAAAAGAAAATGAAAAATCAAAATTGTGCAGCAAGCTCAGTAAATTTTAATGAATTTTACAGCAATAGAACACTTGTAAATTTAGTTAACAAACTTTATTATGTCCTAAATCTTGCTTCATACATCAGCACACATCTCAAGGTTATGTAACATATTGACCAACATACCAATCCGGATAGTCGTTTGCCAACACTTCGCCCGACAGAACCCGAAATATCGTTGATTTTCTTCCGGAGTTTCTTTGGTGTGCTAGCAATTGTGAGATCTTCATGAAGTTTGTGACAATACACTTCTAACTTACACTCAAAGTTGTGAGGAACATTATCACTGAAAGCAGATAGAAAATATCATTAAATTTTTCAGGAAATTTATCCTACTGGACATAGGGTATAAAACTATACCATGAGTTGATGTGAGATGGAGCTAAAATATAAAATGATATTCTTGTCAATTTAAAGCAGAACTCAACAAGGAGATCAAATTTTCGAAAAAAAACATCTCACAATACTACTTCAGTCAGTAAACATCTCCAGTAATTAGTCTATGTCTGGTAATTAGTCTATGTTTTGTAATTAGTCTATGTCTGGTAGTAAGCCTATGTCTGGTAATTAGTCTATGTCTGGTAGTAAGCCTATGTCTGGTAGTAAGCCCATGTCTGGTAGTAAGCCTATGTCTGGTAGTAAGCCTATGTCTGGTAGTAAGCCTATGTCTGGTAATAAGCCCATATCTGGTAGTAAGTCTATGTATGGTAATAAGCCAAAGTTTGATAATAAGCCAATGTCTAGTAATAAGCCCATATCTGGTAATTAGCATGTCCCTGGTAATAAGCCCATATCTGGTAGTAAGTCCACGTCTGGTAATAAACCCTTGTCTGGTAAAAAACCCATCCATTTCTGCTGCTATGGACAGTATTAGTGCTACCAATATGCTATCTCCTGTAATAAGCCAGCTCTCAGACATAGAATCGGAGGTATAATTTTCTAACCCCACTGCACTTATTTTAGTACAATGGCACAACTACAGCACACTCAATGGTGCAATGCAACAAACTTCATATACAGTAGTAGTCAGAAATCTATATCATTGATCCTGATGTACATACTGAGACAAAATCAGTCAGTGTATAAAACAGGGATTAATATAAATGAAAAAAAACCCCACTATTCATTTAAAGAGGGGCAGTCAGTACTTAATTTTGATAGAATACACCATCACATTCAAATGTTACATCTATGGGTTAGACTAAAACAACCTTTCCCCCTCCAAATTCCTCCCAAGAGTTATTTCCCATTACAAATCTAACAGATACTATGCATCTAAACTACTAGAAATACATTCAATTATCTCCAACCAATTAAGTCAAGAAAAAAAGGTCAGAAACATTAAATTTTAGACCCATGCATTCAAATTAATCATGGCAGGTTCTTTTCCTGCATTTTAAACCTCACAATAATGAGAGCCAGATGTAATGAAGTCCTTCACACATTGCTGGCTGTCAGAACATGGTTTCCAACCAAACATCTGGTAACCTGTCAGAAATAGCGGAGTAGAACTGTGAGAACTTCCTTAAAACTTGTGTGCTTAACTAGGAAGGGGCAAATGTCACAAGGCGATATACGGTATACTGTATGTACATATTTTAGAAGGGATTCCAATCCAAGACAACAATTTGTAGCCAAGTGAAGGACTCAAACATCACTTTACCTGCTATATATTATGAAATAACTATTTTTCCTGGAGTTTTTATTTTGGTGATTTCGTGATACTCTTAATACATAAATTCATACATCCACAAACTGTTAACATTAGTACAAGTAGATTTATTGAGCTATAATCATTCAGAAGATTAAGTGTACAGGAAAAAGTATTTAGATAAAAAACATGACAATTGACTCCGATGAAAATATATGATTTTAGAATATAACAATAACTGTTTATAAAACAGGCAAAATACAACTTGTTCAGCAAAAAAGAAGTGATCAAAATACTCCCAGATTACAAATACTTCTTCACAGAGTTTTTAAGTCTGTGAAGAAATTCTTATATTTTTGTAAAAATGAACCATTAAGTGCTGTAGATGAGTTTTTTCAGTAAGTTAAATTTTCACACATACCAAAAGCTTGTAGCAGAAGGATGTGTTCATGAGCGAGACTACTTTTTTTTTTTCATTTTTGAAGTTATTTTGCAAGGTATACATAAAAAAAAAAAAAAAAAATCACCAAAATAAGAGCTCTAGGTAAGTAGCTTTATTCTTGATGTAGATAATGATATTTGATACATAACACAGTAAAGCTAGTGCCAAACTAACATAATGAACATCAGTTTCATAATAAATGCAACCCCGTTCCAGTAATTACTGTAAGCTTTCAAAGTTGACATCACGGTTCTTAGACTGGGCTCTAAAATTCAAATAAAGTCATACACAAGAAAATATAGCTGGCATTTATTTCAGCCTATTTGAAATTCTGTTTTTCTATTTCCTGCTCAAAATAGACTTTAACACTTCCAGTTTAAACAAAAGCCAAATAACCTTGCATTTAATCTTACATAAATCATGTGACTTAACACGATAAAGATAAGAGTTTGCTGGAATCAATACTACAGGCAAGTATGACTTTATGTAGATAAACTGTCAATTCTTAAACAAAACTTCCCGCTAAATCTTGTCACATGTAGTTCTGAATGTAATTCAGTATGTACAGCACTTCTATCAATGTTGTATCTGAGCCTAAAAAAAGGTGTTTTTTGTTTGAAATTTTACTGATATGTGGAGTGATTTCAAATCTCTAGTGACTTAACACATGGGAAGTTTTATATATTTTGTAATTTTTTTTATGTTTACATATCAGCCAAATTTATTTTTAGTTTTCACAGGAGAGATCACATAAGTATTTGTACAAGGTCTTGATTAAAAAAAAACATATCTTAAGTGTTTTCAAAATTATAAATCATGTGAAAAAAAACCCATAATAATTAAGATTTGTAGTCATGATTTTCTGTCAGAAATAAGGAGGTTCCCAACAGTAAATCCTACATATATAGACAGCATTTCAATAGTTTAACATTCACTTTTGCTTCTCAACAGTACCAGGATTGGGCCATACATGTAAATTTTTAACCCTATTTTCTATTACAACATATTGGAAGTTTAAAATGATGTGAATATTTCTAAAATGAGAGGATATTGGAATTTATTTTTACATTCAATCAATCCATTTCCTGTGTCAATTTCAACATGAAATGTAAATCTGCTTAATCCTGACCGCCCTCCATTGACAAAGGCTTTTCAACATTAAGATCATGTCCCTCAGTGGATCCTGTCACCGAACTATACTGCTGAATCGGTAGTAATTTTTGTTGTGTAATGAAAAATCACAAAAATGATATGGACTTAAATATCAGTTTTACCAGGTACAATAAAATGAAAATTGAATAGCTTAATAAGATTCAACTTTATAGAAAACTAAAAATCTTCAAAATCATATGATTATTTAATGAAACTTCAACCATTCATTTATGATGTCATTTCTATTTCGCAAACTTAAAATAAAAATAAACATTATCATCTCATCCTGGTACCCGCCCTTTTTTTTGTGTTTGTTTTTTCATCCTGCTGATTTTTGTCCATATATTCGCCGCAATGGTATACCAGCTGCCCAGCTGCCTCATGAGGAAAAAGGTGCCATTTATAATCCAGAAGCCGTACCTCCCTTCACTGGCATTTTATGTTTTACTGGTTTTCTGAAGAAGTGATCCCTCACCATTTACAGAAGATGATATCCCTACATATATCAAATGCCTCATCTATGGTTACCTCGATGATAAGCAGATTGATTTCATCAATCAGTAACTAATTATGACAAGTGAACCATGTGCTGAATATATCTACATCAAGCTAGCTGAAAAAACCCATCAATAGAAGACTGCAAGAATTTGTGACATCATAAAGTACTCACAAACTGATGACATCATCAAAAGAGAGGTCAGTCATACTCCTGTCGACATTACTAATGAGAGATGTATCGTATAGGTCTGTCCCAATCCGCACTAAACAAAATACTGCAAAGCGGCGATAATCTGCAAGGAAATCATCATTTTGTTCTTTATATAAATTTCACACATACAATAATTCATGTCTGAGTCTTAAAAAAAGCCCACCTTTTTTCTGAAATAGTCACACATGTGGAAGTGAAATGTTGGAAGGAACATGATTGTGCAAATATACATAAATATACATACGAACATGGTTTAGTTCAGTCTTAACAGTTGTCAGATAACACAGGTGATACTCTGTGAAATTGTGAAATAGAATCTCCAGATAGATACACTTTCTGAAACATAGGAGTGAAAATCCCTAAAGCCAATAGAAAGTCTAAAAAAAAAAAAAAGAAAACTGGAAAATACATTTCCCACTAATGCGTTGATCCATAAATGCATTTGACTGTTTTGTACATTTGCTTCGATGAAAATCAATTTTTTGTCCTTTATATAACAAACTGATAACAGGCATATCAAAGGATTATATTGATTGAGATAAAACCAGATTTTTCTTAGACTTACCTCCCTTGTTCTTAAAATGATCTGTATCTTTCCACATCAAAGGGATTCGGATATCTGTAAACAAAAATATTTATGATATTCATCACCGTAACATTTTCATGAGATAATGCCGCATTCTGTTTTCTGCAGGAGGGAGCTGGGGGCACAGTTTAATCCGATCACATCAACTTACCAACCACCACATCAGTCATGCCAGGAACAAGACTTTCCTTAATTTATATTCTTCATTATGCCCCAATATACAACAGTTGAACAGAAACAAGAAAATGTACTTGGTTTCATCACAGTGCCAAGCCCAGCAGCTGAACACTATTTGATTACTACTATTTTATTACACAATTATCCTATGCTGGCTGTTATGGAGTCAAAAACCCTGATGTAGATGCCAACAGCTCCTCCTAGTCACATTCTGACCGGGTAATGCCAACCTCTCCTCTATAGTGGTGAAAACTCCGAAATAAAATCTGATCAGGGTAATTATCTGATCTATCCTTTAAACTATAAGTCTGGCCAGAACCCGGAACAGGAAATATTTATTGGCATTTAAATACATCCCAGTCATACTAACACTGCAGGCATGTAAAAACTGAATCCTTTTTTTGTTTTTTTGATAAGCACTTGAGTTGATATGGAACATATCAGGATATCTCATGGCCAATATACATCTGAAAGTGGTTTGAATATTTCAGTGAAAAGCCAGCAGTCAAGCTGAGTTTATTAGCAGTAGGATTTACGCTGTTGAATAAAGTCACAAACTCTCCTGCATCGATCAGCAAGACAGTGGCATGATACCTATATATTACACTAGTTTTCTCTGTGTTTAAAAAGTTGGATTTTTTCTCTGACAGTGTGGCTTTTGTTTTCTCCATTTACTTCTTTTCTAATCACAAAACAATGATTGCATGTATCTGTATGTATTAGAACACCACTGTGACTTATAGACTTTCCTGATGTTGAAATAAATATGACCAGTGCCATATCATGAGAAGAAATCAATAACTCATCACTCATTCTAGATATATTATATGTCATTTTGAGGTTTTACTAAGGAAATTGAAGAAAAATTAAAGTAAGGTTTTAGTATAGAGAACAGATACTAACCTGACACACAAAGACTTGACTTACAGGGGACTTGGTTACCATCCATAGACCTAGAAATAAAGAGTTCAATGAATAACGGCAAATCATCAACAAACTTAGCTTCAGAAGCTTGCTATTACAAAACATTAAGCTCCACCACAGCCTTACTCACTAAGCTTCAACACAGCTTTACTCACTAAGCTCCACCACAGCCTTACTCACTAAGCTTCAACACAGCCTAATTCACTAAGCTCCAACAGTCTTACTCACTAAGCTCAAACACAGCCTTTCCACTAAGCTCAAATACAGCTTTACTCACTAAGCTCCACCACAGCCTTACTCACTAAGCTCAAACACAGTCTTTCCACTAAGCTCAAATACAGCTTTACCCACTAAGCTCCACCACAGCCTTACTCACTAAGCTTCAACACAGTCTTACTAACTAAGCTCAAATATAGCTTTACTCACTATGCTCAAATACAGCTTTACTCACTAAGCTCCAACACAGCTTTACTCACTAACCTCCACCACAGCCTTACTCAATAAGCTCAAACACAGCCTTACTTACTAAGCTTCAACACAGCTTTATTCACTAAGCTCCGCCACAGCCTTACTCACTAAGCTTCAACACAGCTTTACTCACTAAGTTTCAACACAGCCTTACTCACTAAGCTCCACCACAGCCTTACTCACTAAGCTCCAACAAAGCTTTACTCACTAAGCTTCAACACAACCTTGCTCACTTAGCTCGACTACAGCTTTACTCACTATGCTCAAATACAGCTTTATTAACTAAGCTCCAACACAGCCTTACTCACTAAGCTTCAACACAGCCTATTTCACTAAGCTCCACCACAGCCTTACTCACTAAGCTCCACCACAGCCTTACTCACTAAGCTCCACCACAGCATTACTCACTCAGCTCAAACACAGCCTTTCCACTAAGCTCAAATACAGCTTTACTCTCTATGCTCAAATACAACTTTACTCACTAAGCTCCAACACAGCTTTACTCACTAAGCTCTACCAAAGCCTTACTCACTAAGCTCAAACACAGCCTTACTTACTAAGCTTCAACACAGCTTTATTCACTAAGCTTCACCACAGCCTTACTCACTAAGCTTCAACACAGCTTTACTCACTAAGCTCCACCACAGCCTTACTCACTAAGCTCCACTACAGCCTTACTCACTAAGCTCCACCACAGCCTTACTCACTATGCTCCACGACAGCCTTACTCACTAAGCTCCATCACAGCTTTACTCGCTGAAGTGATCACTTCCAATACATCCATCTTTAGTAAGTCGACAAAATTCAATGGGTTCTTCCATTTGAAACAAAAATTCTCACATAGTTTGCTAGCTAAATGAATTTTTAAAAAAAACTGTAAATGTATTAATTTATTAACAAATTGGGTTATTTTGTTCAAGTGTGGTCAAATATATGTTAAATACAGTAAATTAAGAGGCGAATCCTACACACCATTCCAAGCCTGTCATTTTATCTTGAAGATCCAGCATGGACCTCTTCATTTTCTGGTTACAATCCTATTTATTGATCTATCCAAATTTGTAAAACATTGTTATACCCGGCAGATATCAGTTCAGTTTTCCAATTCTCAATAACCAATCTCCCTATGACTGACGTCAGTAAGCAATTTCAGACGTAAATGTTACAAATGTTGTAAATCTTCTTCGATTTGTCCATTTGCTTGAAAACTCATATCAATTTAGAAGAAGAAATAATGGACTATCGGAACATTTTGACAGTAACACAAACCTAGAAAGAACAGTTTCAAACTTCAGCATAATTATTTATGTATTGTGATTACCTTTGACTGTCTTTGTAATCGATACTTTCTCTTTTTTGAATAATATATCTACATATTTTTCTTTTTACTATTTTGAGCTTCCATTAAATTTTTTTTCTAATTTAATCCAAAACAGCAATTAATATTACCAAAATTAATTAATTTTATAAAAACTTATTAATGCATTTGATGAAAAGGCCTCTTCTATTAGTGACCACTGATATTATATAATGTACCTGTATTTGCTAAATAAGTGCCAGCCATCTACAAGCACTTGTCTACCTTTTCCAAAATAAAAATTTGGTCCAAGTATCCCTCCTTTTTATCCCAACCTCACCATCCTGCTTTTTTGAAAAGTGTGATATGAAAACATACAATCCACTGGTCAGAGTTTTCAATATAAAAAATTCAGTATCAATGTATTCCAGTATTAATGTGAATGTAAATAATTTTTGTTTGGATTTTTTTTGTTTTTTTTAGAGATTCATTTTGATAAAAAAAAGGTCTCTATCAAAATCTTTGATACATACATATTTTTGCCAAGAACTTCAGCTGTCTTTCGTTTCTGGAGTTCTGTCATATAGGCAATGATTCGAGTATTGGACGTAAGGAGATTTCGGGCGGCTTCCAACATCTGAGCAGGGTGTTTGGTTGCAGCCAACAGCTTGGCTGTTCCCTCTCGCATCTTAACTTCATGGTCAATCTTTTGTTGTAGGTCTGTGTCCTAAAAAAATTACAATTTTATGATACAGTGTGGTCAAACATGCTTGTGTGGCTTAAATGATGCAAAATATTGAAACAACAAAACCACATACGGCAATTAAATCCGTGCCAAAAAAGCCATGTCACCCTGTGGATTAGTCGAAGTCATCTTTTTATTTTTGAAAATGATAGTTTCCTGTTTAATTTCACATGTAGGAATAACTTTGATTTAACTTACAAGATCATTTAACCTTCATAAGAGAAAGCAAAGTCATTCTGTCATTCACTTTCGTGTCATAATACACTGTATGTGTAATATCCCGGAGACTAATGCAAAACATCGTTGTTAAATGAATAAAATAAATATGTCACATGCTGAGTCAAGTAATTCACAACGCAGACAGAAAGATAGAACCCAGATGCATACGTACATGACCTTTTGGTATAACGGTATGTAAATTTGTAAATATATAGACAAGTAGACTTATATAACTGTTTATCCAAAATGTTTTTAAATGAATTGTACCACATTTACAGTGACAAAGATCCCCATCAATATAGTTACCCAGTCAGTACTGCTCGTCTTGTCCACACCCATGCTGATACTACAGAGCCTGATATACAGAGACATATGGACGAGTTCCCCGCTCCACTGAACACCAATATCTGTTTCTAACATCTTTTACTTTTGTCTCAATACATTTTCCTATTAGTCGCCATCAAATTGCAATGAAACACTTGGAACCAAACCATCTGTCCATTTATTGCGTTGAGATCAGCTGCCTGGAGCTCCTCGTTATTAGTCCGTATAATCAAGGAACGATGGGCACAGGTTTCATAGGTCACAGGTTACACTAATTAGATAATTGAGTTCCACACCATAATGACATTTATCAATATAGAGGGGGATGGGGGCGTGGGGTGGGTGTCATCACTTACTTCGCTAACTACAACTTAAACCTGCAGTAAAAACCACCTGTCTATAAAGGTCACTTCCATTGTTATTGATGCAATATAATTCATTAGAAAGAACCTCTATATAAAAGCCACCTGTCTATGAAGACCACTGTTCTTGTTTCCCTTCAGTGGCCTTGCAGACAGATTACACTGTTACGAACTCCATTCACAAATACAAGGAATATCATGGCTCCTGCCATAGGTCAGTCACAATAATACTGGGCCTTAAGCCTGATCCCTATAGCACCAAGAAAATTGGTATCAATACAATCATCTGGTTCATAACAGCTCTTCTGATGTCAGGACTTCTTTACAAGTTATTAAAGATTTGTAATGAATCTGGTGGCTGTATTAATTCAAGGAGTCAAAATTTCAGTAAACCAAACAACTCCTAGCTGAATTAATCTGAGACTCAAAATGTCATTTTTGAAGACTGTTCCTTCGGGAGCCATCTTTTATGATGTGATAACTATGGGTCCTTAGATTTCATCTGAAAATGTCATGTTGGTCAAACAACTGATCATGTGCATTAATTAAGTGCAGCTCATGTCACTTATAGCATTGGTAATCATTTTTCAAAATGGCTGCCAAGTCTTGAAAACTACACTGGAATGGATTAAGTGATTGAAAAATTATGAATAAACAGGCCAACGGATAATCAGAATTGACAACTTTGTCAACGAAATATTAAATATCCCACCGATAAAAAGCTGACATTAACAATATACTAATGAAAGAATAAAAAGCCAAATTGTTTTTTCTTAATTTTTGACATTTAATCCAGCACATCAACTTCTCAAAAAGAAATCATTAGGACTCTCTATAAACTACCAAATGTAATCCAACACAGGGAAAAAACCTCATGTGCTGACAAAAATTACTTAGAGTCAACCCTATAGATACAACCAGTTGATAAAAGGTCAGAATTTTGACATGATGTGAAGGTTGCTATAGACTCCAGTTGCTGCTGATTTTCTGTAAACATTGAGATCAGAGTCTAGTCTATACTCCACTGAAGGAAGAACAGAGGGGTTACTTAGTGTAGTATATAGGCCAGTCTAGACCGATGAATTCTGGCAGAAAAATCTGCTCCATATAAACTTCACTACCTCCTTTACTTATCCAACATTCACAATTCTTAACCCGTGACAACAAATATAAGCTTCTACAGAAAATACAGATTTATATAAAAACATGAACTAATAGATGGGAATCTGTGTTTTTTTTTAATACACCATATGTGCATGTACCATGAAATTTAAAAGATATTAAATATTTATTTACTCATTGCCAATCTGTTTATCTGCATGCTTGGCTTTTAATGTGATGTCTAGACACAGCATTTGCCCTAAGCTTATGGATGTAGTAACTCTTCATGAGGTATAATGTTGGATTTTAAAGACAAGCTGAAGCCTACGGTAAAATTTCTTCAAGAGGTCATAATCCTAACAGTTCACAACTTAAAATCTGTGATATCAATATCTTATGAACATTGTTTACAAGAGTGTCCGTGACAAAGATGAATTCTCCCCCAATAATGACTTTGATGGATACAAAATTTTAACAAAGGGTAATAATTTTGTAATTAAAGGACCCTGAATTTAAGTTTTAATGCAAGCAAAGCTGTGCTCATGACAAAGTTTTAACAAAGGGCAATAACTCTGTACTGAGGGGTCAAGGGTCCTGACTTTGCTAAAAAGCACTGTGTTTTTGTATGACTGATGTATAAATTATCTTAGATGCAGACAGAATAATTTTTAACAAAATTTTAACAAAAGGCAATAACTGTAATTCAGAAATAGCAGGCCTTAAGACTGGTACCCTGCACATTGCCTGCCCACAAGGATGCTTCAGACTAAATTTGGTCAAAATCTGTTTGGTAATTCATGACAAGTAGGATTTTTTATCAAAGAAATGATGAACAGCATAAACCACCTCTCCTTCTGACTATGTGAGTAAAAATAAAAACCAACCAATCATGAAAACAGAACATTTAAATTTCAGTTTGAAAAAAAACTTTTTAACACCAGTAACTGGCATATGCTCAATTGCAAAGACTTTTTTGTGAGAGTTTTTTCCATTTAAGTGCATGTGGGTTCATTATAGAAACAGTCATCCACACCACACAGCATATAAGCTCCTTTGGTGCTAAATGCTTTTCTTCATGCGTAGTTTTGCCTGAAGCTGTTGTGTGTTAAGTCCCTTTGTATCACAAATTTTCATTACATTGTACTCTCATACAATACTCGTGTATAACTTCTGTTTGTTTCTTCAATACTCTTGATTTATAAGAATTATTCAAGTTTTACCAAAACACAAGGAAAATGTGAATTCATCTCCGTTCTGATGTTTATATACACAATACCAACCACTGTGAAAGTTTTTCACGTCACTCACAACAGGTACTAATTTATCATGATAACCTTTGGTAAATGTAACAATCAAAGATTTCTGGAATATTTTGCTATAATTTTGATTTTAAACAAAACTTTCATAATGTTTTCAAACTTAAATATATGTACAATGTTATGTTAGAAACTTGAGATTGGAAATTCTTTCTGAATGGTTTTGTGCTTTAATTAAGCTAATAAGTTTATCTGACAATGTTTTAATCCATGAAACACTTGTACTGTGCATGTCCCATTTTCTTCAATGATCTTGTTGATGTTTAAATCTTTCCTGCTGAATATGTTAGTATCTTAGCCTGAACCCCCACCCCCACCCCCACCCCCACCCCCACCACCCCCACCACCGCCACCCCCACCCCCACCACCTCACAAATTCTATCAGTCTTCCTTCAGAGAGGGAACAGAATGAACAGATAGATATCTTACACAGTTTAACTGTTCAGTCAGGTCAGTTTGATTACTGAACAGTCAAGGTCACTGAAGTGAGGAGTTAAGTCTGAAGACCGATTATAACAGAACCGTCATATCTACGCACCGAAATGTCCCAGAGGACAATTCAGCCTGTGACAATTTGAAGTTAATCTAGCCAATTACCAACAGGCATTTAAGTTGTCACAGAGCTGTCGTTGTGTTGTTTGTAGCACATAAATATTCCAGAGTGTTGCAGACAGTGTCAGTACAGTAACAGTCTGATTCATTACATAGCTGGTACTGAACGGTTCCTGTCCACAAACTTAAACACATAGGACCCTTTATTTATGATTTGACATTAGGGACACTGCCTGAAATTAAACACAAGAGCAGTCAACTGAGTAACATAAGATATTTTAGACTGGTGTACATATTCTCAGTGCACCAGTATCATACATATGACAGTAATTGTACACAAAATACATTAAAAAAACGCAGTTTGTGTCGTAAATAAATAGAATTTCACCAACCAACCGTACAAATGCACTTTGCAACAATCAGAATCAGTTTAAGTGTGGAAGACACCTTCTAGAAGATGTTGACCATCTCAGAGAACAACATGCAAGAGGCCCATCACGTTCTCAAGAGTGAATGAGTTTGTGTCTTGCTATGAAACACATCCACAACATGCATATAATAAAGCACAGTTGTGGTCTTAACTTCCTGGTGAAAATGAACAATCTCAAGTAGAGATCTAACTCCCACACCTCCAATCATCACCTGCCATCAATGATTATTGAATAGCCTCAATGTGATTCCAACTGAGCTATCAAAACCCTCTAGCCTGTAGTAGAGGAACTGTTACGTAACAGACTCATTTAGTCTTGTGTTACATTGGAAGTTTTTATAATAATTAATATAACCAGCCAGCTCAGCACCAAAAAGAAGGATGTATTTCAGGTCGTGTGGAGGTAAGACGGGCAGGTAAGAGGGGCTCCCTACAGGGGGTTTATTGGGCACTCTGATTGATTATATTATATACAATTGAATGGGAATTAGTGGAAGATATGCATACTGAAGTTATGGTAAGTATCACATCATGAAAATTGGTTTTACAAGAAAAAGCTCCAGGTAAACTAGACAAAAGTTTCACACTGGGCTAAACAGACTGCCTCCTCGTTAGTGTTCTTCAGTTCAGACATGTCTACATGTACACCTGGCCGAAGGCAACCATCTAATGTATACT